CACACCATGGAATACTACGCAGCCATAAAAAGGAATGTGATCTTGTCTTCTACAGGGACATGGATGGAGCTGGAAGCTGTTATCATCAGTAAACTAACACAGGAACAGAAAACCAAATACCAACACCACATGTTCTCACTTATAAGTGGGAGCTGAATGATGAGAACGAACGGACACATGGGGGGAACAACACTCACTGGGACTTGTCAGGGAGAGGGAAGCAGGGACAGAGAGCATCAGAAAGAATAATAGATGCTGGGCTTAATACAAATTGATGGTTTGATATGTGCAGCAAACTACCATGGCACACATTTACCAATGAAACAATCCTGCACATTTTGCATATGTACCCCAGGGCTTAAAATAAAAGTTGAAGGGAGAAAATAAAAATAAAAATATCATGGACACAAGTGTGTTTAGAGTGGAATGAAAGAGGGAAAAGTTAGCTAACGAAGGGAAGGGATGGGAGAGTAGTAACAGGTTGGAGAGTCTTAGCCAGTCTAGGCCTTATAAGGTAGCCAGGCTGCCCCTGCTTTAACAGAGTCTATGCAAGAAACACCCAGATAATGTGTGTTTGGTCTTATTGCTCAGTGGTGAGAGCCCACATTTGTGTTCATAGAGTAGCTATACAAAAATTACTAGCATTATCTGGGTTTAGAACATTGCTTCAGACATATTCAAATATACTCACTCATACGAACCTGCTTATGGATCATTATTTTTATAGTGTTTCTGGTCAATGGATACAAAAATACAGTTAGATAAATGAAATAGATCTTTCTAGTGTTCAGTAGTGCAATAGGGTAGCTATAGTTAACAATAATGCATTGTATATTTAAAAATAATTGAGAGTGGAATTAGAATGTTCCTAACACAAAGACATGATAAGTATTTAAGGTGATGGATATCCCAAGTATCCTGATTTGATAATTACGCATTGTATACTTGTATCAAATTATCACATGTGCCCAATTAACATCTATTATGTATCCATAACAACTAAAAATTAAAAATGGAAAAAAAAATCCTTTACATTTACTTTGGCCATGCTCAATAGCAGCTGGTAATACAATGCATAGTATGTACTCCAGAGAGGCTTATTGAATGATGGATGTGTGAATGAATAAATGAATGAGGACAGATGTAGTCTTATAGCACAGATGGCTACTTCCACCCATAAATAAACATATATTTGGATGCAGATATAAACTACACATTTATCATCTTGAATTGAATATTTAGAATATGATTAACTAGTAATTAAATGTTAATTGTTTTTAAACACATGCATGTTACATCAAAGTAAGTGAAATTGGAAAAATTACTAGTTGTGTACATTCAGAAACATCTCTGGCTCTGAGAGGGACATTTGCTAAAAATATTTTGCTTCACCTTGAACAGAGTCACTAGTTTAAAAGAAGTACATAAACCTAATCTCAACAAAAAATGTTACTCATTTTTTATCTAGCTAGCTAGCTAGCTATCTACAGTATCCATAATGATTTCATTGTCTTGTGCAGTCTTCAACTTCAAATGTCAACTATACACTTGCCATTTTTGTTGGACTTAACCATCTTTATAGTGATAATTTGTTTCTATAGCTCTTCTGTAACTAAGACTCTGTGGCATTTACTGCTGGTGTAGTGGCTATAAATTGGAGTCTGAATTTGTTTTAACATTCTCTTTTCAGAGTTTGGAATAACCTCTGTACTTTTATAAATGTGATAGATTGATCTTAGCATGTGGCTAAGAAACTTTTGTAAATATATTTTTTAAACTTCCCTATGTTTTGGGAAACAGGAGCTGATATGTATTTTAAATTTTATAGGAAAAGCCAATTTGGGACATTTTATTCTTTTGTCATCATTTGCTTAATAAACAAGTTGTAAATCTGAGGCAAACAAATATATTCATGGTTCCATAGGGTGGCAAAGCATTAATAAAAATAATTACCCACATCAGAAGGAAATTAGATAACACTTGCTTTAATTGCCCTATCAATTTAAATCAATTTTCCATTTATTCTTTAACAGCTATTATGGTTAATTTAACAATCATTGCATTTCAAATATAATTCCAGAGATGTTGCTTTATAATTTACTATGCCATCATTTTCAATTAACTGTTTATGCTATCTTAAGAGCACATAGCCTTACCCAATATTTATTCAATAAAAGTATTGAACAGAGTTAATATTTTAGTGAAGGAAAGTTAATAAAGTATTTTTTATTATTGTGTAAAATGCCAAATATGTTAATTATAGCTTTATTATTTTACTAGGTGTGTGGTTTAAAAACAAATCTTAAGCAAAGTGAGCTATAGAAATTATGTTTTTAGTCAGAAGGCCTTTGATTAATATCTATCTTCTTGAGTAATTTGCATGTTACGATTGTAAAATGTAAAGAAAATGTATGCTGGAAGTATTATACTGAATGGGCATTCAATCATATTCTGAAAGGGATTTTTGAAAATTCTTAAAGTTATCAATTATTCCTTTAAAATGATCTCATAATGAATTTTAAAAATACATTCATGTGTCATTTAATAATGGGCACGCCTTCTGAGAAATACATCATTAGACAATGTCATCATCGTTATGGGAACATAATAGAGTGTACTTATGCAAACCAAAACAGTATAGGCTACTACATACCTAGGCTGTGTAGTATAGCCTGTTGCTCCTGGGATACAAACCTGTATAGCATGTTACTGGACTGCGTAAAGTAGGTAACTGCAAAACAATGATAACTAGTTGTGTAACTTAACATATCTAAACACAGAATAAGTAGAGTAAAAAAATAAAGGATAAACAGTGGTACATCTGTACAGGGCATTTACCATGAATGGGACCTGCGGGACTGGACATTGCTCTGGGTAAATCAGCGAATGAGTAATGAGTGAATGTGAAGTCCTAGTACATTATCGTACACTACTGTAGAACTTGAGAACACTGTACGCTTAGGCCAGACTACATTTATGAAAAAATTCTTCAATAATAAATTAACCTTAGCTTATTGTAACATTTTTACTTCATGAACTTTATTTACTTCATGAACTTTATTTTGACTCTTTTGTAATAACACTTAGCTTAAAACACAAACATATTGTACAGCTATACAAAGTATTTTCTTTTTTCTATTCTGATTCTATAAGCATTTCATTTACTCCATATATATATATATATATATATATATATTTTTAAACTAAAAAAAAAAAAAAAAACTAAGACACAAATACACATATTAGCCTAGGCATACCCAGAGTCAGGATCATCAAAATCATTGTCTTCTACCTTCACAGCTTGTCCAACTGAAGATATTCAGGAGCAATAATATGTAAAATAATGCTACAGCATGGATCTGTCATCTCTGGTAATAATAATGCCGCCTTCTAGGATACTTCCTGAAAGGGCTGCTTGAGGCTGTTTTCAAATATAACACTCAATGTATAACTCAAATATAACTAAAAAGCATAGTACAATACATAAACCAACAACATAGTTATTTATTATCATCAAGCATTATTTACTGTTTACAGTTGTATATGCTATACATTTACATATGTGACTGGCAGTGGAGTAGGTTCATTTATACCAGCATCACTGCAAACACTTGAGTAATTATTATGCTATGATGTTACAATGACTATGACGTCACTGGCAATAGCCATTTCTCAGCTTCATTGTAGTCTTTTGGGCCCATCATCATATATATAATCTATCACTGATCAAAACATTGTTATACAGTGCATGACTGTAACTCTATTCTTGTTATTGCTTCATAGTTTAATAATAGTTAAAATTGTATAAGCCACAGTACAGTAAAAATCATTCCCTTAAAATAGACAATTGCCATGTTTAAACTGATTTGATATTTTGTCATCTTACAAAAATAATATAGTCTAAGTATACATTTTAAATTTTTTGGCTGGGTGTGGTGGCTCACACCTGTAATCCCAGCACTGTGGGATGCCAAGGTGAATGGATCATCTGAGGTCAGGAGTTTAAGACCGGCCAGGGCAACATGGTGAAACCCTGTCTCTACTAAAAATACAAAAAAGTACTTGGACATGGTGGCACACACCTGTAATCCCAGTTACTCAGGAGGCTGAGTCAGGAGAACCACTTGATGCTGGGAGGCAGAGGTTGCGCTGAGCCGAGATTGTGCCACTACACTCCAGCTTGGGTGACAAAACAAGACTCTGTCTAAATAAATAAATAAATAAACAAACACTTTTTTATTCTTTATTTTCCAATAGAATATTTTAGAGAATCTTTTTATTTTTTAGACTGTATACAGGAATAATTCATTTTTTTGTGTGACTAACCTCACAATCAGGTAATCAGTTAATAACAATAAATGCTAGGAAATATAAAATGACAAGGTGGCAAGAGAAGAAAACATGAAACGAAAAAGTATCTATCTTCTTCTCCTTATCTTCTCTGAAATTATTACATATATGTCCAGTGTAGCTTTTCATGGCTCTTGCCTCACAATTTTTGAATAATTTTATTTTTCATCCTGAAATATCAAGAATATCCAGGTCTCTGCCCACATGATTGACAGTAATTCTGTTCTCTATGCTAGAGTAACAACAGCAATGAAGATGAGCCTATAAACTCAGCAATGAGCAGCACCATATTTGTCTTTCTTCCAGTTCATCTAGGGTCCCTCCACACTCTTTGCCTGATCCCTGCTCTGGCCAGTTACCCTTATAAACAGGATAGCTGAGGAACAGCAGTTAGGTATACAGTCTAGAAATAGAACAAAACTACTCACATGGATTGACTTCAAAATCTTTGCCTCATTTGTATGAATCAAAAAGCCTTCAAATATTTAAAGAAAAAACTAGATTAAAATAAAATGTTTACTGTTATTTATTGCTGTTACAGTAAGTTGAGGATTCATTTTTAAAAACGGTTAAAATATGGCTAACTGCATTTTCTAAAAACAACTACAGCAGCAAAACAAGGCTTTCCGTTTTCTATTCCTTTCTTATAGGTTTAGGCTTCAGTATTGCAGGAGGTGTGGGGAACCAGCACATTCCTGGAGACAACAGCATTTATGTAACTAAAATTATAGATGGAGGAGCTGCACAAAAAGATGGAAGGTTACAAGTAGGAGATAGACTACTAATGGTGAGTATGACTCCAGCAAAACTGTTTGTATATTTATAAAGCTCTTGTTTTCCAGTGTATGACTGTCCCTGTTCAAGCTGCCATCACAAAATACCATAGGGTGGGTGGCTTAAACAGCAGAAATTTATTTTCTCACAATTCTGGAGACTAGAAAGTCCAAGGTTCCAACCGATTAGGTTCCTGGTGAGGGCTCTCTTCCTGACTTGCAGGCGGCCACCTTCTCACTGTGTCCTCACATGGTCTTTCCTAGGTATTTGTGCAGAGAGAGATCTCTCTCTCTCTTTCTCTTCTTGTAAATCCGCCTCTTTTAAGGTCCAGTCCTATTGGATTACGGCCCCATCTTTAACTCATTTAACCTTAATTATCATCTATAGAGCCTATCCTCAAATACAGTCACAGATGGGTTAGGGCTTCAATTTATGAATTTGTGAGGGGTCCACAGTCTAGACGATGGGCAAAAATGGAGAAGAGACAGCAGATTTATGAGTAAGAGATCTCAAAGTACATGGACAATGTATCCATTTTGTTGACATTTTCAAAACAGAAATCTAAATTTTCATCAATTTTCTTAGGGACACATGGCATAGAGATTATCTTTTGTTCTTCCAATATAATGTGTCTCCTATTAGGGAGAGCAACTGCTATTTATAGACTGCTGGAGAGGTGGGGTTTACATAACAAAAGAAACAACACCCTGACTTACTTCATGGTCCTTTGTGCAACCAGTATAGACACAGCACCTGACTTCCAAGAATTTATAGTCTGAGTTGTGCTACATGTGTAAATGGATCTCATCCTTTCCTTCCCTTAGACAGAGTTATAGCTGTTTCATTTGCCAGCTTCCCACATGCGTCAGGAGTCCTAGGCAGTAACTGACATTGACACACAGCCAGTCTTTCTGAACCATGGAGTTACATGATAACCTAAAGCAAAATTAAGGCAATTGTAAGCAGCAAAGTATTTGGGACTGTGTTAATAAAACTGCCTTATGTCCATTTACTGTTGTATGCCAAAATCTACAGGATAGTAATCAAATATTGAAAATTAATCATAGGTAGCTCTCAAGTAAGATTAGCATATCTGTCTAATCATATGTCTACCCTTATAAAACGGCCTCTAATCTATGTCTGCAATGATCCATTATCTCCAACAGTTTTGTGAGAAGTGTCTGGGGAGGATCAGCCTATACAATCTCAACAGAAAATTATTTTTATGACTCATGCAAGTTTTAGAGGTTGAACCTCCATATTTTGTATTTATTGTACCTACTTCCCTTGGCTTTAGAGAGCTTGTGTTTAATCCCAGTGGTCTAATTTCATAGTCGCCAATGACCTTTGGGTAAAATAAGCTTTGTGTTAGTTAAGAGCTTTGTAATAATCTTGATAGCCAACATTGACCTGGCATTAGCTAAGTTCCATGTTCTTTTATAAAAGGCTTTTTTTTTTTTTTTTGTAATGTAACGTATTTCTCATAGCAGCACATTTTATATAAGCAAAAAGGAACCGAGGTGTAGACAGGTTTACTGACTTGCCCATGATCATGTATTTAATAATGGACAGAACTGGGTTTCAAATTGAGGCAGTCTGGCTAGGACCACTCATCACCACCAAGCTATACTGCCTGATGTGCAAGGTGTGTTCATTAGTTTCCTTGAATTTGTCAGTCAACTCTTTCCTTTCCTACTTTATTCGTCATCATTTATTAATTACTTTTTTAATAAGTACATGCTGCCCACCTACTGTGTCCTAGGCAGTAGCCAGTATTCAGGAAGGAACTCTGTCATGAGAAAACAGGAGGGGCAAAAAATACAAAATACACCATTAATGACGTTAGCCAAACTTAAAGTTAAGAGCTTTACCACCTGAAGCCACTACTGCTTTCATTCTCAAGAAAGTCCGATTTTTTTTGTCTGTTTGCTTGCTTGTTTGTTTTCAATGTAAAAATTTGTTCTTACGATGTTCTTCTATCTTCTGGATGAGAAAAGTTGTTATTTGGATATAAGACCTGAACAACTTCTCTCTGGCATATAAACTTCATTGCTTGAAATGTTGTCTTGAGAATAGAATAAATTGTGATAACCATATGTACATAATGCTAAGTTGAAAAATAAAGAGGGCAGTTTCATTATCAAGTGATGACTGTCTTAGCTAGTTGCTGGTTTGACCTTTGATGCACAGTTCTGTAAGAGTTTGGTTGTAGGCAGCTCTCCCGGTATTTCTTCATCTGCTGCTATTGTACAATCATGGTAAATGCTATGTGCTTACTTCTTGAAGTTCTGTTTAAATTTTTTGTTTTATTTCCAAATTCTTTTAAAAAATAACAACCTTGATCTAAATAATTCTGTCAAAGGATTTTCCAGGCACCACACTATTTCATTACCATTTTCTTGATATTTATTGTAGATATAATGATTCCAAAAATAGCTGTGACATAATCCTTAACTGTTTTGAGTTTTAAAGCATAGTTTAAAAAAAAAAAGAACCTTCAATAGTAATAGGTCTCTCCTTTCTTACGTAAGGAAAACATAATTAGTACTTCCAAGGCAACTGCCAAATTGAATCTGGAAATGAAAGAAAATGATTCATTTATAATAATCTGCAGACAGAATAACCCTCAAAAAGAGAATAAAGACAAAAAATCACTGAAGCCACCAAAAAGACAAATTATCTTGCCTCAACCCAAAAATATGTATTAATGCTCTCCTCTGTCATTCCTTTCCACCTCCTCTTCCCTTTACTACCCTACATTCATATTCTTTGTATCTTCCCCCTCTTCTACTCTCCTCCCACAAAGGAAGTACAAATGATTTAGATTCTATGGTGTACCAGCTGTACCGCACTCTGCATATTTTTCTCTAAATATGCTATTCTTTCTAAAGCAATTTGCACCACTTCCTTCTCTCACTTCTTAGAAAAAAAAATCCACCATATATTATTCACTCAGAGTTCTGTAAGTAAACTGGCCTAAAATAAAATTCCACTAATTTCTTTATTCTTCCATGGTTGAATACTCACAATTCAGGAAGTCTCCTAGCAACTGCCCGCTACTGAGACCACAGTCATTTTTTAAAGAGTTAGTAATAGCAATAACTCTTTTAGTTTCTCAAGTAAAATAGCTATAATGTTGGATACCACCTGAATCATACCATCTGTAATGGGTACTTTTTTTCCCTGAAGAATTTCTTATATCTCAGAAATTTTAATATGTTTATCTTAAAGGTCATCTTATATCAACCCTTGCTTGGTACATTAGGAAAGCAGGCATGTGAAGCAGTCCCTCACCTCTCATAGAACCCCTTTAAGAGCGGATAATGCCTCCTGAAAGCTATTTATTAGGTAATAAGTATCATTAAATGTTTTCCTTAAAATTCTGTTAAACCATACTTCCCCATAAATGTCACCCTTTGTTCATTGCTCTGTCCCATGGAAACAAAAAGGCGAAGACTAATTCCTCTCCCATGTATATTTGAAAGAGCTGTCTTTTCACTTCTCACTGTTTAGAATGTTTTAGACCTTTCCTCTCTCTTCCAGTAAATTTTATCACACATTCATTCATCTTCTGTAAATAGATTACACTTGTTACAAAACTTCTTTATATTCCTTACAGTCTTATTTCCCACTTTAAAAATTGCACATAATAGTATAATACCTGGCCTTTGCAAATATTCTTCTTAAAGAAATAATTATGCTGTCTGTCACCTTTGCAATAAGCCTCTTGGTGTTTGAAATGAGATGACTGTAATGTTAGATCACTCTGATGTTTAATGGGTCACCCAAATACAAGGTATATGTTCTTTTTACCAAAATATGTATTTATTTATTTTGAGACAGAGTTTCACTCAAGGTGCCCAGGGTGGAGTGCAATGGCATAATCTTGGCTCACTGCAACCTCCGTCTCCCAGTTTTAAGCGATTCTCCTGCCTCAATCTCCTGAGTAGCTAGGATTACAGGCATGTGCTACCATGCCCAGCTAATTTTGTATTTTTGGTAGAGACAGAGTTTCTCCATGTTGGTCAGGTTGGTCTCAAGCTCAGGTGACCTGCCCACCTCAGCCTTCCAAAGTGCTGGGATTATAGTCATGAGCCACTGTACCCGGCCCAAAATAAATTTTTTTAAAATTTCCTTTGCTACTTAGAACTTATTGTTCACTAGAATTTTGTTTTGTTTTTTAAATGGTAAAGTGGCAGTGACCTCAGATTTTGTGGATTGTACCAGTGGTTTAGTGTCATAGTCTCAGATGAAATAAGATTATCTTAGCCTTGAATTTCAGGGGTGGTAACCACGGAATACTATGCAGCCATAAAAAAGGATGAGTTCATGTCCTTTGCAGGGACATTGATGAAACTGGAAACCATCATTCTCAGCAAACACACAAGAATAGGAAACCAAACATCCATGTTCTTACTTATAAGTGGATGTTGAACAATGAGAACACCCAGACACAGGGAGGGGAACATCACACACCGGGGCCTGGGGTGTAGAGGGACAAGGGAGGAATAGCAGGGGGTGAGGGAATTGGGGAGGCATAGCATTAGGAGAAATACCTAGTGTAGATGACGGGGTGATGGATGCGGCAAATCACCACCATGGCATGTATATTCCTATGTAACAAACCTGCACAATCTGCACGTGTACCCCAGAACTTAAAGTTTAATAAATAAATTTTTTAAAAAAAGAAAGGAGGTCAGGCATGGTGGCTTATGCCTGTGGTCCCAGCACTTTGGGGTGCGGGGGTGGGAGGATTGCTTGATCCCAGGAATTCAAGACCCTAGGCAACATAGCGAGACCCTGTCTGTAACAACAACAACAAAAAAAAAAAAAAAAAAAAAAAAAAAAGAAAAAAAAATTTTTTTTTTTTTAGATGGAGTTTCACTCTTGTTGCCCAGGCTGGAATGCAGTGGTACAATTTCAGCACAGTGCAAACTCCACCTCCTGGATTCAGGCAATTCTGAGCATCCCAAGGAAAAAAAAAAAAAAAAAAAGAGTTTAACAACATAACAC